CAGGTCACCACCATGTGCCCAGCAAACACTTGGGGCTCTTTCTGGGACTGTAGTGGTAGATACCCAGTTCTCACGCAAATGCCTTACCTGTGAGGAACGGAGGTTAGAGACCTCTGCACGGTCACACGGTTTTAAGCTGAACGTGCCAGAGCTGGCACTTGAATCTAGGGTTGTATGACCCCCCCCCCACAGCTTCTGTACAGGTTGCTGCATGGGGCAACCCCCATGCCCAACCTCAAATACACCCCTCATTCCTCTCTTTTCACATCATCCATCCTGAGGGTTCTGTTGCCCCAAAGCCCTGGATGCTCCCTCCATCATGACCTCAGTTCCTTTATCTGGAAGATGGGTGGGGAGAGGCCTCTGCGAGGAAAGCCCACTTAGCCAGCACCACCCTTGTGGTCGGGCGCTGGGAGCCACTCTGGAGCCCCCAGACCTGAGAACCCAAAGACAGGATGGAGGCGAGGACTCAAACGGTCACGCTCCGCAGAGCTGCTAGGACTCAGGTTCTGCCAAACACGTGCACGGCCTCCTCTCCCTGGCTCGGGGCGGGGTGCCCTGTGCATGGCAGGACACTTCCTAGTGGTGGTGTCAGTGCTGGGGTGTCTGGGCGAGAGTAGCCGGATCTTGCTGGTTCCTTCTATGCATCACCGCATGTTGGGGGGGGGGGGGTCAGAAACTACCTTTCCAGCTGGGGCCGGCGGCTCCTACCAGGAATCTTGTGTGTGTGTGTGTGTGTGTGTGTGTGTGTGTGTGTGTGTGTCGGGGTAGGGAGGTAGACCCAGCAGGTTGCCCTGGGGCAAGTCTCAGTGCCCCCCCCCATGCCTAGCCCAGAGGAGGAAGTCAACTCATTTATTTGTTCATTCATTCAACAAACGTTTATTGAGTGCCCAGCTCTGGGGACGGCAGTGAGCAACTGTCCTAGGAGTAGCTTATGCTCAAGGGTCTATATATTGATTCACTGAAAACTCTGTTGAATGAGTGAGTAAGCACCAGTCCCTCTGGGGGAGGGAGAGCCCCCACATCCGCAGGCTTGGCCGTCCCGAACGGCACGTCTTCTGTCCTTACTGGTTTTGTCATTCTGTCTGGTGGTCACTACCTAGTGGGGGGAGTGTCGTGGCGCCCCTGGCACCGGCCTGCCTCCGGGGGAGCTCCCTCTTTGGGCTGAGAATGTGACCACCAGGGTTATGTTAGAGGAGGGTCTCTTCTCTTCCGCCCACCCTGCCTGCACACGCCCCTCTCCAGGCACCCTCTGGCTTCTCAGCAAGAAGGGTTCTGCTCGGCAGCCTCAATCCTGAAGGGTAGAAAGGAACACAGAAAAAGAGGTCACCCCAGAAAGTGTTAGTGTGCATAAATGGCCATCTCAGCTGAGAGCTTCCCACACACATATCCAGGTGATCCTTGCAAGCTTCAGCTCAGTCTCTCCTCACAGAGGATGAAAGTAGTTCACCATTTCACAGATGGGAAAACTGAGACCCGGATGGGATGATTTACTCAGGAGCAAAATGTTAAGAATTTGGCTGGGGGATAGAGGAAATCAATCTCGCCTCTTACTTAAAAGCTCTCCCTTGGCAGGGAGAACTAGGCAGGAGCTGACATTTACGAAGAGAGCCCACCTCCGGGAAGTCTTCTGTGATCACTCCTTCCTCCAAATGAAATCTTGGCTCTTCTGTGGGCCTCAGGTAGCACTTGACAAACACCTGTTGCTACAGCCACCTGACTCTGGCCACTCAGCTAATTGTGGATGCACCAGATTGTGAATAAGCTGGTGACTGGTGGTGACCACATCTGAAATCCATGCCTGTCTCTCCCCTGGGCCTAGTACTGTACCTGTGAGTCTTAGGCCTGTGGAAACATTACCAGCTGTCTCCCAGCCTGCTGAGCCTGCTGCCCTGGACCAGCCTGTGGTCTCTCCCACCCCCACACAGCCTCTGTCTTAGAAGCTGCCCCACCCAGGACCAGGGGTAACCTCCTTGCAAATCCCCGCTGGCCTGGGACCGAGAGTGGACTCAGAGTTCATGCCTTTCTTGTGCCTTCCCAAGGCTGAGGTCAGAGGCCCGCTGGAACGGCCTCTGTCAAGAGTGGGATGGAGATGAGTGCCACCCCCTCCCCTCCGCCCATGGGGCCCACGAGGCCGGTTAAACGGAAGCTGTTATTTACTCCCCCGGCTGACGGGGAGGCCCCAGACAAGGGCCCCAGAGAAAAAGATGTCAATAAAACCAAAGGAAAACTAGGTGCGTCCTTGAAACCCCCGTCCCTGGGCCAGAAACAGCGATTTACGACTCAGATAATTCTTCGGTGCTTTATCTAGGGTGTGGGGGGATGTGTGTGCGTGTGAGGTACGGGTGTATTTTCCTAGTAATAAAACCCTCAGTCCCGGAGAATAAATTTGAGGCGACAGTTTTACTGACAGATTTTTTTTCTCCTTTGTATAATAAAAAAAATGGAGTGAAATTCGAGATTGGGAGGATAAGAGCTCCCGCATTTTAGGAGGAGATAAAAAAGCAGTACCTGCAGGGAGGCCAGGCCCCAGGTAAACGGTCAGGATGCGGCGCTTTTATGACTTTGGGAGAAAATTCCTCAAACCTTCCCCGGGTCTTGGGGTCTGTCTGGTGACGCCACCGCCGGGGTCACGGGGGTGAGCTGCCAGGTGGTGTCCACACAGCCTTTTCCTGTCTGGAGGGGGTGGAGAGATAGAGAGGGCCCAGGAGAGCCCTGGGGTGCAGCCTGAGTGAGCCCCATCACTTCACCTCCCTGAACCTCAGTTTCTCCACCTGCAGAACTGGAACATTAGTGTCCACCCTGCTTACTCGCTGGTGCAAGGTGATGTCTCTGCATGGCGCTGTGGCAGGGGGCCAGGTAACTGTTGGAGGAGTGGGTAGGCATCCTGTGTGGCTTCCCTGTCTCTTACTGTTGGCCGTCTCAGCTGAGAGCTTCCCACACACATATCCAGGTGATCCTTGCAAGCCTCAGCTCAGTCCCTCCTCACAGAGGATGGAAGTAGTTCACCATTTCACAGATGGGAAAACTGAGGCCGGGATGGGATGATTTACTCAGGAGCACATCCAGTGCCAACCCCCACTGCAGACGTGGGTGAGGTTCCTGGGAGCGACACCCTGACTTAAAGGTCCTTTGCGCCTCTTCCCCCTGCTTCCCTCGCTCTCGCCACCCCGGCTGGGGAGGCTGACTTGCAGACGCACAAGACGAGACACAGAATGCGGCATCTTTCCTCTGGCCACACAGCCCGCAGAGGGCAAGCAGACGCAGCGGAGAGCCTCGGGGGGCCTGGAGGGGACACGCAGGGGCCAGATGGCAGGGGGGAGCCTGCAGCGGGGGTCCCACTCCTGAGCCCCTCGATCCCAAGCTTGGAAAGATCTTACTATCCTTCTGACCCTCCAGCCAGGGTTTCCTGGCTGATCAAGCCTCTGTTCCTCTTGATGAACTTGCCCCTGGGGAGGGTGGCCCAGACTGATATGGCCCATGCCTGACACACAGCTGGCATGGACTGGCATGGTAAATGGCATCAGTAAATGCTGGCTGGACACACTGATTCTGCATCCCTAAACCAGGGGCCACCACACATAGGCCCAGAGGGGCTCGGCTGTACCCAGGGCTGGTCTCCCCTAGAAGACGACAGCAGGTGCAAGCTCTGACCCCTGGAGAGTCAGGCCAAGAGCAGGACACGCAGCATCACCAGCACTGGGGGGATCCCGGCCCCGCGCCCACCGCCGTTCCAGCCCCTTCCCCTGCCTCCACCACCAAGCCGCAGGGAGTTAATTCCACTTCTCCAGGCCCAGGCGAGAGCCTCCCTGTCGCAGGCTGTTAGCGCGGAGCCCAGCTGAGCAGCGAGAGGCTGCAAGCTCCCAGTCTATAATAGAGTTGCTGAGACAAGCGGAAAACTGCAGCCGAGTAAACAGATAAATAATTGAAACAGTGACAACACATACCTTGCTGCTTTGTGGAGTAACACTTTCATTAGCGGCAGGCAGCACGGCCTGGGGAGGCGGCGGGTGGCCGCGGGGAGCGCAGGACTCTTGGGTCCGACTTTTAATCAGCCGTGACCAGCTGGGCACCTGGCTGCCTTTGTCTGCTGCGGCAGGCTTTAGCCTCCCCTCCCGCGGCCCCTGCCAACTCTGGCCCTTCATGTCCTCGGGGAAGATGGGCACCGGGCAGACCCCTCCCGGTCCGTCCCAGGGCAGCCAAAGCGGGGCGAGCCCCCTCGCTGCTCCCTTTGCCTGGCCCCCCAGGAGTAGATTGGGTTCTCCCCAGGTCTTCCGCCTCCACGGGTGCCGCTTCTTAGTCCTCGCCCTACTGGCAGAGAGAGCTGTAAATGGAAACCCAGCCTGTGCCAAGCACACCATCCTTCGCGGGAGCCGAGCTCCTGCCCACTGGGCCCAGTGGCCACTCGGGCACCCACACGGCGTCTCCTCACTCCACTTCTCTCTGCCCCGAGGCCGAGCAAGTGCGCCTCTCGCTGCACACCCACCCTCCGCCCCTCCGCCCCTGGGCCTTGGCACCTGCTGTCCCTGGGCCGGGGCCACCGGCCATTCCCGGGCCGCCCTCTGCAGGATTTAGCGAACCTTATTACAGGGCCCCTTGTTTGTCTCCCCCAGGAGGTCCTGCCCCGTGAGGGCCCCTCCTGTCTCCCCGCGTTCCTTTTCGCCCCTGGGCACCTTTGGGATGTGGCTGCAGCTCTGCAAAACCACTCGCCCCTCTGGCCCTGACTGTGCCCACCCCAGCTTTCTCACCTGGGCCAGGTGGCTCAGTGACGCCACTGTGACGGCATCACAGGTGCATTCGGAAGGGCACCTGCTCAGACGTCAGCAGTCACGTCAGGTCAGCAGAGTGGGGGGCTCGCGGGTTCCAATGACCACTGTGACATCTCTGGGGCCCTGGGGCCTTGGGCTTCTGGCCCTCATCACTCCAGCCCCCCCATCCCCCACAGGAGCAGGCGGCGGGGCTGGCTGAGCGCTCACCTGGCTGCCTCCGCTCTGTTGCAGGTGACAGAAGGCGGCACCATCAAGCAGAAGATCTTCACCTTCGACGCCATGTTCTCCACCAACTACTCGCACATGGAGAACTACCGCAAGCGGGAGGACCTGGTGTACCAGTCGACCGTGAGGTGAGCCCGCGGCCCGCGGCCACTTCTCACCAACCCCAGAGCGCACTGGGGCGCCCAGGGTCACCCTCCAGCAGGGTGGAGACAGCACAGGGGGACCCACTGCAGACGGGGCCCCTGAGGGTCTTGCGGGGACACGCCCCTACTCTGTCGTGCGCGGCAGAGCCTGGTCGCCACCTCGCCAGCAACTCTAACAGGACTGCGGGTATTTTACAAACCCCACTTCCAGGCGGGGGCTCGGAGGCAGAGAGGGTGAGCAGGGGGCCGAGGTCATACAGCCAGGAATGACAGGGCAGGAATGTGGTCAAGTCTGGTGCAGAAAACAGACCCCAACACCCAGGCCCTGGGTAGAAGCGACACGGAATAGACAGGGGAGAGTCCGGGGGGCAGAAGTACTTGGTGTTTCCACCTCCGCCCTTTTCTAGAAGACTCTGAAGTAGCCGACCCCAGCCCAGGCCCTTCCATGCCCTTGTTGTGGGGTGCCCACAGTCCTGCTCCACCCCTGCATTCTCATAGAAGGCCCCATCCTGTGTCAGGCCCTCCTGTAGGACGTCTTCAGACCAGCCTGCACCCCAGCACCCCAGCAGAACAGACCCCACATACAGCTGCCTGCCTGCGGCTCCTCCAGGGCCCTTAGCGAGAGGCGGTCTCACTGCAGTACCCCACCTCACCCCAGAGCAGCTCACACGGCGCTGGCAAGCAGTTCCGTCAAGCTTCTTCACAACGCATGCGCCCCACCTCGCCCTCCCTACCCCAGATGCTTTGCTGGGTGTCCAGCAAAAGCATGTCCAGAAGATGTGTAGTCTTCTCCGAAGCTGGAGGGCAGACGGGCTGTGCCCAGCGTGCAGAGAGGAGGTTCCAGGGGCACCTGCAGAATGACCACACCTGGCCCCCAGCCGCACGAGGCACACTCTCCACCTGCTGGTTGACCATGAGCATTGGAAGGCCAGAGCAGGGGCCTTTCACCCAGAACCCCAACTCTGAGCATAAGGCGTGCCACACAGTAGGTACAAACTGGAATTTGCAAATTGAGTGGTTGACCCCTTACCCCGCTGGGCCTCAGTTTCTTCAAAAGTAAATAGAGAAAATGGGACAAAAAGACAGCCACGTGCTCAGCCATTCGGGGAATCTGGAGAAAACACCCCACATTCTATACCCCCAAAACCCCTATCTTTTACCCCTCCCCCACCTGCCCTCTTGAGCAGGAAGGTGGGTGTGCTGGACCTGGACAGCCTTTCTGGGCCCTTCCTCGCTGCACTGCAGATCCAGCTGCGTGCTCAGTGAGAAGGTGGCCCTAGTCCCCTTTCCTGGCTGTCTGTGATTGCTCCTGCACGGCTATGGGCAGGATTTAGGGCACCCTAAAATATAAAAGCACACTTAGGACAGGCCCGTTGCAATCAAGATTTGCTTCTCATTTTGGAGAAGCAACGAGCTGTTCTGGGAGACAATGACGTGGCCACCAGGGAACATCCAGGCTGCTCCCCCCAGCTCCCCAGAGGCCCAGGGCCGCCACCCCAACCCTGCAAGGTTCCTGTGGGCTTGGTGAGCCCCCCGGCCCTCACCCACACCTTCCACCCTCTTCCCTGCACAGGGGTGATCTGTCTCGGTGACTCCTGGACAGTTTCCTGAGCCAGGAAGCATCCCCGTCCCGCTGCCCCTCCTCTCACGTGGACGCAAGGTGGGGGGCACCAGAGCACAGGCCCGGAAGACGGGGTTCCAATCCTGAGTCCTACTGGGCGCCCTTAGCCAAATGGGGTGTGGGTCTCCTCGCCGCACAGGTGATGAGGACCAACTTGTGAAATTGTTGGGTTTCACGCAGCTTCTATGCAAAGCCTGAGTCCAATCCCACTGGTGTCTTCTTGAGCACATCACGCTGCGGAGAGTCCCCAGCTCCGGAAGGGTGACAGGGAAGCCCCTTGCAGCCTTCTGAGGAGCCCACTGAATTCCTAGAAAGCACGCCGCCCCCAGTCTGAGCCTGGCCTGAGGCTGTTACTACCTGCTTCTTCACCATGAAACAAACACCTCTCCTGTTCCCTCTCACCAAGCCTCCTAGAGCATCTCTCTATTGTCAGACTCCTGGGGGTGCCGGCAGGTTTCACCTCTTCCTTAGCTCTGTTTTATAGACCATCAAAGTTCTGCTAGGTGAGGGACTGGCTTGAGTCCCCAGCAGGAGGAATGTGAGCTTGGTCAGACCCCAATCTTCCTCATCCTACCCCTAGACCATGCTGCTTCCTCATAGCACAGTTGTGGAAACTGAGGCCCAGAGAGGGGAGGACACTTGCCTAAGGTCACACAGCAGCGCTGATGAGTGGCCAGAGTTTTTTGTATCTCTGAGCCCTGGTGTAGGGGTGGTCCCCAGGCAGAGGGCAGCAGCGGAGAGGGCCAGGAGGTGAGGTAGAAGGGCAGCCAGAGCAGGCTCCTGGAGCCTGATGGGTGAGGCGAGTTGCCAGCAGCCTGGCCCTGTGGGAAGAGGCTGCTCTGGAGTCTTCAGGGCCTTTAGGACTGGCTGCAGGCCGCAGGCCTCTGCATTTACATATAAATGAAGATATTTACAAATTAATGCATCTCAACCAGAGTGAATCCCAGCTCCACAGCTGTCTGAGTTGCTTCCTCTTCAGCTGGGGAAAGTGGGGAGAGAATGAGGTTGAGATTACCCAGAATGGCAGAGAGCAATTTCCCTGGCCGCCCAAAGGAGCCCAGGGACTCCCAGGCTCCCTCCTCCCCTGGAGTTCTGGTGGGGTGACAGGTCTACTGCCTGGGTGGGGGCAGACTGGTGCAGCGTGGCCCAGCACCCTGTCTGTCAGAAACCTTTCTTGCTCTGAGCCTCAGGATTCCCAGCTAGGAACTGGCCTCATTTATGCCCTCACAGGACACTTCATTGTGCACCTACTAGGTGCCAGGCAGGGGTGGGGGGCAATGGGGAACAAGAAAGACGCTGGAGGAACAGAAGTCAGGAAACAGGGACATACAGAAGCCTGTTCTTCATGTGCCAGGGACTTGGTGACCCCATGAGCCAAGTTCACCTCGGCTACAACAGGGGTGTTGGGCGAACCCCCAGGCTCCTCATCCCTCAGGTGAGATAACGCTCCACCGTCCCCACATTCCCTTAGAGGCTCCCCCAAAATTACCTCCACGGGGCATGAATAGGCTGCTTCTCGCCAGGCTTTTCCAGCATTTTCCCCAAATGCTGACCGAGAAAAACCCGGGGAGACTGTTCCCACCTTCGGGCGTTTGCAGGTAGTTTGTATAGGTAAGAACAGTGAGTCCCTGGTGTCAAAAGTGCACCTGTTCTGGGTGGTGTCTGGCTTTCTGTAGCTCAGGGCTTTGGCTGGTGAGTTACCTTCACCCGAAAGGTAAGTAAGCTGGCATTATCTGTGCGTGGGGGGGGTGCCAGTGCCCTGGGCGATGCCAGGCTGGGTCCTTGCTCCGTTGAAATCTTCATCGGGCTCTTGGTCATTATTGGGGGTGAAAGTCAGGCTGCTTCGCAGACAGGACACGTCTATGCTGATGACTCCATTCTCCACTTGCTAGCTTGTTGGGGGGGGGGCGGGGTATCCCAGGACATTCGCAATATATGCACGCTAATAAACCACTTGCTCCCAAATCCTGGTCTGGGGGCTGCAGCTCAGCAGTCCCTCCTGTGGGCGGTAGACATGGTGACTGTCCCACCGCTGGCCTGCTCGTCCTGCTCCGCCTCGTCCCTTACTCACTGGTTCTACTGGGCCAGCACAAGTCATGCGTGGTGCTTGCTGTCCCCCACCAAGGGGAAGACAGTGTGGGCAGAACTCACTAACCCCGCAGAGCGTGGCTCCCCGAGGGTGACCTCCTCAGGTCAGGGCGACTCAGGGTGAACCCCGCCAGCGCCACCCTCCACTGCTGTGCCTTCCACCCAGAGCGCCTGCTATCCCTGGGCTCCCCCCTCTGCTCAGTGTCCAGCGGAGCACCAGCAGGCCCCGCTGGCCATCATTGGTGGCAAGGGGATCTGAGCTCAGGGAGTTAAATGTGCTCCCGTCCGCCCACTGCTGCCCCTCTTTGCCCAGCCCACTGGTCCTTTCAAGCCAAATAAATGCTGCTTCCTCCAGGAAGCCGGCCCTGACTTCCCTGGGGTCAGCTGTCCCAGGGTCCCTTCACACCCTCACTGTCCTGACACTGAGCACTGGAAGTCTGCCTCGGGCTCTGTCTGTCTTCACCGTTGTCTCCCCAAACCCCGCAGCCCCTGTGAGTGGGGGACTGCACCCATTTGGGGGATAGGCGACTCAGTAGTGGTGAAAGCAGAGGTGGCTTCTCTCACTGCAGCTCTCCTGAGGGGTGAACTTGGGAAGGAGCAATTCAGGCCCCAGAGGCCCCTGACATTAGCATCTTGGCTTCATCACAGACTTGAGCGATTGTTGTGTCAGGGACAGTGGTGGGGGCGAAAGGGAGAAGGCCAGCCAGGCCTGCTCTATGAGACTTACATGGTGGGGACAGAGAGACCGGCTATAAAACCATGTAAAATAATAAGGGAAAATATTTACAATGTGTAATGAGTGCAGCGAAGGATATAAGGTCACGTGATGGAGAAAGACGAGTGAAATGGAGTGTGTGTGTGTGTGTGTGTGTGTGTGTGTGCACGCGCGCGCACTTGGGGGTGTGCTGGAAGGTTTCTGGTAGGAGATGGCAGACAAGAGCTATAGATAAAAAAGAAGCCAGGCACACAGGGCGAGGCTGGGGAAGACTGCCCAGGCGGAAGGCAAGCAAGTGCAAAGGGCCTGTGCGAGGAAGAGCCTCGTGCGAGGGAGCCGCGTGCCCAGCGTGGCCAGGGCGTGAGCCAGGACGTGCGCCACCACCTGCTCTGGAAGTGGCCTTCGGGACGCCCCCGACGGCCCTAGCCCGGGGTGATGTGATTGTGCAAAGCTCCCTTTGGGTGCTACCTGGAGGAGCAACTAGCCCTCCCCTGAGCAGAGGACTGTGGGCGAGGAGAGAGTTCTCACCGCAGGTCTCAGGACTCCGTTTCCAGCTCTGAG